TTCAGATCAAATTTGCTTCTTAGTTCTTCCTATTTTCAAAACTTTCTCTTTTAATTACTTACAGATCTCTACTGCTGCTGTGACTGTCAATAAAATATGTGACAGGAGCCTGATTCATGGGTCTGGTGTAATGCTGCTCTCCTAGAACAGCAGCTGCCTCCATACCGGTACTCATCCAGTTAACAGAATGGACTGAGCTAAAGTGAAATATTCCCGGTGGAGGGAATAGGGATGAATAGGAGTTTTGGGAGGATGAGTAAAACCTTTGAGACTGATTAACAGGCTCTTATCCCAATTTGTTTCTTGCCTTTCTTCTAGAAAGGAAGCAGTAAGTGAGGGAGTGTTGACTCATGGCAAATGGGCTGTGAGGACCTTAGTGGAAAAATGGGTAGTATGAGGAGCAAATTATTCCCTTCTTCTGCTCTGCCATTTCAAATGGAAACTTGCTGCCTGGTCTGTCCTGCTCACTTGCTTTTTCTGTTTCATAACTTCAGTCTAATATTGCCCTACTTTTTATGGCTTCTTGGTTATCTTTTGATGTAATTTTCCCTCCCCAAGATATTTGGTCACCTTTCTAGCTTAGAACCTACACCAAGTCTACTGTTTCCACCATTTCAAGCCCTTGGTCAACATTCTGTGTCCTGTCAGCTCAATTCACATCCCATCCTTCCAGATCTCTCCATGGTTCAGACTGATCTCTGTAGCTTGTTGGTCCTTCTTGGTAGGTGTTTCCTGTCATGCACATAAACTTGACAAATACAGAATAATTGAAATAAAAGGAAAATAATAGAACGGGTTATTAATTTGAACTTTAAACTTCCAGTTGTTCATCAGAAGATCTTGGATAGGTAAACTGTTTCCTGGCTTACATATGAACAATTGCAGCATCTCCATCCCTGGGTTTTATCCAGATGAAAAAGGAATTCAGACAAAAGAAAACCTGAAATCTCATAAGAAAAAGTGACATTTTCTTCAGGTTTTGGTTTCCAGCTTGCTGTGCTGTTTTGGCCTGAGTAGTTTTGAGATCAGTGAAGGAGAATACAGGTATAGAATCTTA